TACTATGTTTTCTGTAACCTTCTGGCCATACAACACTACTTTTTCTTCTAGGTCTTGTACTTGTTTCTAGCTTTCTAGTTGGTGCTCATAACCTTGTCTTGTTAACTTTAGTTTGACGTCTTTGAGCACCCCTTTGAGCCTGTAAACCATATTGCATACTTTTCCTAGTTCACAATTTTCTGATACACCTGGCCAGTCAATTATTGATCCTCTACACCTTTCTAAGTTTCTATGTGTCTCTGTGTGTTCCAGATTTTGCTGTTGCTCTAGTCTCCTTATTTGTTGTTCTATTCCTCCTACTGTCTCCTCAGGTATTCCTGCATTGCTAAGTAGTATAGTGATTAGGGATAGAGGTGGGGATCTAATCTCTATTAGAATAGTCCTACAGTGTATTGATCCAGGAATGGTCCTTGATAGTAGTATAGGCCTTCTCTTATAGTTACTATTAAGTAAAGAGGTCAATAGTCTGTACTACTGTATACTATTGTAAAGATGGTTGTTTCAGTATATTCCTGTTGGTTTTGTGAAGCCAGTTATGCTTCTTAACATATTACTATTACGTTCTAGCAGATTGTTCAAAACAGGCCACAACAGTGTAATACTTTACACAAGAAGTGATCATACTCAATAACTGTTGTTATAGACTATATTTCTGTACAGGAATTACACCTCTTGTTGTAGGTTCACAGGCAACAGGCAGGTCCTTAACCATATAACCACTGGTCCCAAATGTAGCCTCTATCTTTGCTCAACTAGGAGTATATCCCTAAGAGTGTTGATAGTACTTGTACTCAGTGGAAGGGGAGTTAATGCCCTTAAGAGTGGTTTTAATGTGTTTGTATTTTGAGGTGAATAGAGTAGTGTTTTTGTGTAAAGAGTTTATTGGAAGAGATGAGTGGGTTACAGCTAGTTCATGAGCTGTCCTCAAATAAACTGTTATTGAGTACAATGCTCTTTACACAATACATGAAGTGCTTTTTATACTACTCTAATTATTCCTTTATCCTCCTATTTCTTTACAAGTTGAGTGGTTCTGTTTATTGGATGGTCTGTGTACTATGTTGCAATATTTTTAGTATGTTGCCATATACTCTATAGGATGTGTATTAGTGATTTCGTGTGTTCAAGGCATTAGCTATTTCTGTTTTGAGGTAGCAATCTATGTTAGATCTTTTACACCACATGCTTCTTGCACAGCCATTATGTTTACTTCCTTGGTAGCACTTCTTTTCCTCAGCTAAGCTTAATTAGCCTTTTCATGATTAGTGCCATTAGTTCTGAGTTCTGGGTAGCTCTGTCATTGTGTATCTGTGTAGTATAATGACCTTTGTGTAAGGCTTGCCTGCTTTACACTATTCATTGAGTACATAGGGGTCTTCAGATCTAAGTTCTATAGATCTGTAGTGTTTGTGTCCTGCTAGTATTATCAGATGGTGGTCTCTATATATTACTTTAATATTATATTGCTTTGTTGGTCCTTTGTGATGACTGGTTGTCAATACAGTGTGGCTGTGTGTTCTGTTGTCTTGGATGGTACTCTATATTGAAGCAAATATTTGTACTGTGTTTTCTTCATATTCTCAGTGTGTTTTCATTGATAGATGTAATTGTGCTGCTTCACATTCCTTGTATATTGTTGGGTTGTATATCTTGTATATATGCATCTTAAATAATGCTTCTTTCCTTTCTTGTTTTATTCCTTTGTGTATCACATGTTGTAGTCAATGTTGCAGTTGATTGAATAACATTTGGTATGCTACTACTTGCATAGTATTTCTCTCTATTTGTATGCTTCTTGTTTTGCAGATTTGTCAATCCTGGCACATTTGATATGTCATTATTGCTTGTATGCATTCTTGAAGTTGTGTCATGTGATTGCATTTCTGGCATAGTCTCTGTGTGTCTTACAGCAAATTCCAGTTTCCTTGATTGTGTACCATTACAAATCCTTCTGAATCCTTTCAGCTGGTGTCAGAACATCTTTCTAAGTTACTGTAACTGTTAGTAGTTAATTATAATGAGTAACCTGCCTGTCTAGCATTGTTACTACCCATCTATACTTACAAGGAGTAGTAAGGTTAATTGCTAAGATGTATGTATTATTATTAAGGGCTTTATTATGTACAGACAACTGTCTATAGATTTGTTTAATATTGTCTAATGTCTTATCAAACTGTAATACATGTTCTTTTACTGTAAACAACATAGATATGTTTACAGCATGTGTTATTGTTGTTTGAACATTGTATTGTTCAGAAAGCACCTTCATAAGACTTTTAACACTTGTATGTGTTGTAAAGTTTGTATAAATTGTATCAGTTATTGTTTTCATTATATAATGATACAAAACATTGTCTGTATATATGCTAGCATTATTAGAGGAAGAGGGATTGTACTCTAGATAGTTTAAGAGTATTATGACAGTGAGTGTACTATGTATACACAAGTACTATATCTTGTATCCCTTCACACTAGCCAACTTTTCTGTTCCCTTAAAGAACTTTGTAATGTTAGAGTCCTTCATTATAGTGTTAACAAAGGTATACATTATAAATGACATTGTAATAGGTTTGGGGGGAGAGGAAGGTTTTAGGCTTAGTAGTCTAGTAGGAGGCAAAGGTGTTCTGTAAGAGCAAGTGTGTGAGAGTATTTAATAAGTACTAAGGCTCATAACCTTTTAACAAGTATAGTAAGAGTACTCTAATTACTCTCTCTTATTAAGACATTAAGCAAGTGTCTACCTTATATACTATATAGTAAAGTCTGATAGTCTGAAACATTCCAAGTACAGTAATTCTATATAAGGCAATTAGGGATTTCCTAATCCAGAGTACAATCTAATATATTCTAACAACTTATTTGTCCTAGTAACAAAACTATTAATAGTACAATTATTGTTATTTTAGACAGTATCTAAGAACTACAAAATACATTAGATAGATGTAAAATCTGTATATCTTTACAGAGAACTAAATGAGGACAAACTCATTTATGTAAAACTACTACTAAGTAGGCTACTTACAGATATTAAATCTAGACAAGTATTATACTTAAATAAAGTATTATACAGATTGAAACAAGTAGGTAGACAATAGTATAAGAAGATTACCAAACTACTACTTAAGATTAGATTAGAATAAACTAATTACAATCATACTGTATTTTATAAGAAACAAAATAATAAAACAATTCTTGTAACATTTATACACATTAACAATATTATAATTATTAGCAAAACTATTACTATAATAATAGCATTTAAACATACATTAAGACAACACATTACATTTACTAACAGTAACAAAATACATTAGTTACTTAGTATTAAAATAAGTTAAGATAGACTTTAACAAATAATTAGCTTATAGTAAAAGTATTATATTAAAAGTATAATTAAGTATTACTACTTCAAAAACAAAAAGGTATTACAAACACTTATTACTCCTAGAATAGATTTATCTAATAATACAAATAATATATATAATACAAACAAAAGTAATAATGAAATAATACTATACATAAATATAGTAGAATTGTTAAAATATGTTACAGATTGTACACAGTCAGACATATATTATATTACTAGACAATTAGTATACTACTTATAAAAGCTCTAAACACATTACTATAAAGTAGTAAAACATTACTTTACATATTTAAAATATATAACAAATTGTTAGCTTTAACTTAGAAGTACAAACACTTTAAAACTATAAGACTATTATAATACAGACAAACAAATGACAGAAGAACATAAAGTAATAAACAGCTACATCTTTCAATTAGCTAAATTAACTATATCCTAGTCAAGCAAACAGTAAAACCTAAATAAAGTAAAGTTGTAAGTACTAACATATACTACTTAAAAAGCTATTTGACTCAAACAATTTGCTAAAGAAGTACTACAGACTGAATCAGTACTCATTACAATTTATTATAATAATCAAAGTATAATAAAGACTGTAAAGTCTAACAAAATAATGTACAACACTTATACTAAACACTTTGATTTATAAAAAGACTTTGTACAATATTATATTTAAAACAATTATATTAATGTATACTATGTTTAATTACAGAACTAATTAGCAGACATTCTTACAAAAGCTCTCTACATTCTACAGATCAAGTATTTAAACAAACTATTAAGTATACAGTTCTAGTTCTTAATTAATACTTAAAGGAGAGTATTAGATTGTACTCTAGATTAGGAAATCCTTAATTGCCTTATGTAGAGTTACTACACTTAGAATGTCTCAGACTATTAGACTTTACTATATAGTATATAAGGCAGACACTTACTTAATGTCTTAATAAGAGAGAGTACTTAGGGCACTCCTACTATAGTTGTTAAAAAGAAATCTGTAGAATTAAAAAAATAAAAAAATCAACATTTTTAAGTAGACATGTGAGGACAAATTACACACCTCCTTGAGTGTGTACCCAACCCTTGTTAGAGTCCTCCATATTGTTGTATTAGAAACCTTGAAACCTAGCTGACTTCTCAAAGCAATCTACAGTTTAGAGATGTATTGATCATTTTTTTGTTCTGTAAGATGAACTAATACCTTTACATGTCCTGTTAGGCCCTCTTAGATCAGATAAAACATTAATTGAATGAAACAGTACTCACGTAGGTATCTGCAAAATCTAGCAGTCATGGCCAACCCACACTCAAATGCTTTGTCAGACAAACCGAACCTGTTGCACACCACAATGCAAGAATGTTGTAGACAGTGTGTACAGGAATGTGCAACACACATGCAATCTTAGTCACATTCTCTTTTTCTATCTTTGTTGAATAACACTAGAATGAGCTTGCAGAGGTTGTTTGATGTTGCAACACCATGCATCATGTTGTGGTCTGTAGCCAAAGTCAACTTGGCAATGTGACAGCCACTTTACATTTGTGACCACATGAGTCACATCCTTGCAAGTTGTGCACTTGCTGACTTGCTCACCATCTATCACCATCTCTGCTATATCCCATGAGTCAAACAATGTCCAATACCATCATTGAAGAGGGTGACCCATCCTCAATGTTTACCCAAGGTGTGTTATACAGTGTGGTGCATTCCCTCACACATTTTGACATACTCCAGGCTCATTGCCTGCCAAAGACTCTCAGTTCTCCTATGGCACTAGAGAGGACTTGTCTGCTGCACCCCTTTCTCTACAATATGGCACCTATACTTACAAGCCTGGATTGCCCCACAGATCCCTAGACTCTGTCAGTGTGTAAATTGCATTGTTTTACTATTCCAAACCTACTGACTGACACGTTGAATTAATTTGTGTTTAAATTTAAAGCACTAGAGGGACAGGCAAAGAAGGAAGTTGTTGTGTGTTCAGAGTTGCTTATCAAAGATGCTGTGGCCAACGTGAACAATTCTGAGGCACTGTTGGCAGCTTCAAAAGCATTGTTTGAGGCTTTCAAGGAAAGCACCTATGAAGTGAAGCACTAGAGGGAGACAAACAGGCAGATGTCCAAGGCTATCAAGGAAAGTACTTATGAAGCAGAGCACCAGAGGGAGAAGCTGGATGTGCTTTTATCAGAATTGGATACAGTGAAACTTCATGTTGAGCATGTGAGTAATATTTGGTAGCATTGTTACACATCCAAGTATTTATGCATACTTCAGCCCCAAGCTTTCATGGATATCCAAAACCTCCATAATGTTTCTGATACACCTTGTGATCTGCTTGCTCAAGGCTTTAGGGCAATCTGGGGACCTTGTGTTTATCTGTCTAGTTGCTTCTATCCTGATTGCATGGGCTGCAAGAGCAAGACGTGCCACTTTGCTCCCTTTGTCAAGGCTGTTTATGTACATTATGAGAGGCTGTTCAACAAACTGGCCCCCCTCAAATTGCATCATGAGAGCCACAACAAGGAGACAAAATCCATTCAGTCTATCAGCTTGTTGAAGCCAGAGAGGTTGGACTTCCTCAACATTGACTTTGACAAGGTCAAGAGAGACAAGGCCTTGAATCTTGAGATGGTCCTAAAGAAGAAAAGTATTGTAGTCAAGGGGAACTGGGAGGAAGCCAATGCTACAAAACTTACATTCTCAGAGTTCACAAGCTGCTTCCTCCAGGCTTATGATTGTGCAAAGGACCTGTTCAAAGTCACTAAAGAGGAACTCGTTCCACACAAGCTTCTTCCTAATATGACAGTGGAAGAGTGTGGTGCTGGCCTGGAAGGCATGATTAGGGCCCACAAACGGTTCACTATAGAGTTCTGTGAAGAAGTTGCAAGGTCCAAGAAGCAAAAGGGCCTAGATGAAGGCTATACACACAGGGACAGCTCCAATACATCCAGCAATGATATGAGTAAAAGGCATTGTCTGTTCAGCCCCTTGAAGAAAGCCTGGAATAGACTTAAAGCAACAGAAAAGAAGAAGGAAGTAAAGACCAAGTTCAGTAAACAGACAGTAATGCAGTTCTTGGTGGACAAGCTAAAGGCTTTCAAGGAAGCACAAGCAAGATACATAACAATTGGTTGCACTACTACAGTCCTCCTAAACAACAACTTGCTCAAACTCTGTGTCAATACTGATAGAGAATTCTGTGTGATAATGACTCAATACGTTCATGGCGAAAAGTCCATCAATGCTGATATCAAAAAAGCTGTTAAGAATGTGAGGAACGTTCTCCCTCAGCTAAGCACTGAAACAGTGGAGAGTTTCAAGTTACTGTACAACATAGGCTTTGAGACACACCCTGCTGAACGTTTCGATCCAGGGAGAGACTTTGAAACCATCATCAACAATGCCAGATGCCCTAGCACTTAGCACAAGCACAATAATGACTCTCATTTCAAGGGGGCACCAATCACAACAAGGGATGACAGAACAATGTCAGCCCAGCCCAATCCCAGCTGTGTGTCTTTACCAAGCTCTGGACAATCACAGGCTATTTCTGCAGGAAATCAATATTCCCAGCCATCTGCCCATTTGCTGCAAACAATGCAACAGCCTGCAGGAGGAAACCAACACTGTTCTGAGACAATTCAAGTTTCAGCAACACACAATTTGCCCACCCACAGCTCATACGCTTCCCAAGTTGGTTTAAGCAGCAGGCCGAGTAGCAAGGCCTTGCAAGGCAGTGGTAAGTTTCACATCATGTTCTCCAGTGCTATTTGACCACTAATTACTGAACCTGGTTCCAAAGCAACTCACAGTTCAAGGTAAGAAGTTCATTTGAATTGATGTCTTGTTGCCTTCATATGATAGTTTGCCATGCATGTATCTTGAATATGTTTTGTTATGCTTTGTAAACCAACAATTGTCTGTATGTAATAAGCCTAGAATAAAGTGCCTGTGAAGTTGCATAATAACAACTTAATTGTTTTTTTGTGTGTTGCACATATGCTAGTTTGAAAGGAAACTTGTAAGTGAAACTGATGAACTCAAATCACTTTGAATGAGGGATGAGATAGTATTATTACTGAGGTGGTTCAAAGAATTCCTACTACTGTTTACCAAGAGTGGCATTTGAAAAGTCTAACCTGGTTAAGAACAAGTAACCAAGAACTGTAGTATTTTGAGGTTGCCAAAGTATAAGTCAAAGATCAGGTAGGACCCACACAAGTAACTCTCTGTTACATCCACATATTCATCCATCTTCATCTATTGTCTAGTCAAAGACAGGATCTATATTGAGAACAAGGTCAAAGGCAAGATGTCAGACATTGACCACTAAGTAAGAAGGAAGTTGTTATCACACCTTCTACATTCTACAGTCTAATTGTACAAATTACATAGTTTAAGAACTAAAAAATATAATTTAATAATCAATGAGATTCTTTAATTACACAATAACAAGCCCTCCATTTTCTACAGAATTTGGCTAGGAGACAAAGGTCTATGTAGAGATTTTTTTGAGACCAATCTGAGAGTATTGTACTCTGTGGATCAGGAGATATGTTTTTTCCAATTCTGTGAAATAATAGATTAGAAGAGAAGGAATTTGCTTCTTTTTTAGTGTGTGTGTTATTTCTCATGTTATTGTCAAATATGAGAGCATAATTAGATTCTCATATGTTAGTGACAGTATAGAGGGGACCTGTAGGCTCAGTAAGGGGACCCAGGCTACAACTATTCTACACAACAGAAATACAGAATGTAAGTACTAGAACATAGTCAGAACTTACAGAACAGACAGGGAGAGAGAGTGAGACAAGAGTAGAGTATATAGAGTAAGCCTAAGAGTATAAGACTATCTAGAGTAAACAAGATCAAGACTACTAGACTAGTCTGATCTTGTACACTTATATATACTAAACTATATAAGAGTACTTAGAGAGTATAAGCTACTAAGAATGATAAGTTATAAAGAATGAAAGAAAGGAAGGTTAAAGATAAAGGTACAAAGAATGAAGGGATAGACAAAGGGTAAGAGACTATAGAATAAACAAAGAATGAAAGGGTGGTTAAAGGAATGGAATGATAAAGTAAGGAGGGGTAGTAGTAAGAGTCAGTATATATATAGTTTATAGACAGTACCTCTAAGAGACAGAAGTCCTAAGTTCTAGTATAGAAGGGTGTAAAACCTTTAGAACTGAAGGTGTAAGAGTAGAGAACTGTAACATTACCCCTCCTCTAAAACCAATTGTCCTGATTAGTGAACATTAGACTTAGTTAGTAGCTTAAGTATAGGTTAGAACAGTAGGGTTTGGAAATCTGTAAGATAGAGTTAATGTAGAGTATCTAGATAAAGTTAATAGAAGTCTTGGATTGTTTTAGTAGTATAGGTAAGATTCTTAGCAGGTTCCTAAGTGTATTCTTTAACTAGGTATCCCTTCTAGTAAATAAGGAACTTAAGCTTTCTGTACACTAGCTTAGTATTTACTATATACTCTACTTTATATTTTAGTTCAAAACTGATAAGTTCTAATAAAGGTAGTAGGGGTCTTTATTATAAAGGAAAACCTGGATTATAGTACTAAGACAACAGAACCTTGTTAAACACTGAGTGTATGTACTTCTATGTTGCTAAAAGTTAGAGTTTGTAAACAAAGGTGTTAACCTTCTTTTTAATAACAAAGGGTCTAAAGTACTTGTTGTCCAACTTCTTCATTAAGTGATCTGTAGTCAGATTAGTAGCTTCTAGTATAACTTTGTTCTCAGACTAGTAATCCTTAGCTACAGATCTCTTCTGATTATAGTTCTACTTTATTACTTATACTACCTTCTCTAAAAGAGCTTGTGTGTCTTCTCTAGTCTTGTGTATCTGTTCTACAAAGTCTGTTACAGATTCAGAACTACTGTTCCAGTTTGGAACTGTCTCCTAGTATGAATGTCTCCTATAATTAAGGAAGAACAGGGACTGTCCTATTGTAGAGTGTTACTAGTTATTGTGTACAAATTCTGTTAGAGCTAACTATTCAGACTAGTCTAACTACTAATGATTAATGAACATTTAGAGGTAGAGCTCAATCTCCTAATTAACTTACTCAGTTTAACTATTAGTTTATAAGTAATATATAGTAGAAGGGTTCTCTTGAATTCTGAGAAGCACATACAAGTCTTGTATGAATTTTGACTTGAATTACAGTCTGTGATTGTGAATGAGCTTCTGAGGGAATCTGTACAACTAAAAGACATGATCCTGATAAATACACACTATACCTTTAAAAGTGAGTTCTGTTCAGGTTAGAACTGTATAGACTTACTTAGAGAATTAGTTGACAATTATACAGATAGTATTGTAACTCTGAGACTTGGGTAGCTTACTAATCAGGTCTACTAAGACTTCTTCCTAAGAGTAATCTAGAATCTGATACAAATGTAAGAGAGTCTAAACCCTTATCTGATAGGTCTTAGTCTGTTAGTATGTATTATAACTAGTTACATACTTTAGAATTTCCCTCTACATTCATAACTACTAGTAGTTCTAAGTAATAAGTTTCTATGTTTTGTGTTAGTCTGAATGTTCTACAGTCAGATTGTTGTAATAAGCTCAGACAATGTTCTTCTACAGCTTCCAATCCTTTAGAATGTACAGTTAGCCTTCCTAGTAAACCTGTCTATCCTTATCCTTCTCCTAATCCCTAGCCTGCTTCTCTAGCTGCTTCACTATAACCTAGTCCTGTGTGTGTTTCAGAGCTTACTGTATGTAAGTGACAAAGTCAACATTCTTAGATTTGAGTCAGATCTCTTAGATTGTCTCAGACACAAAACAGGAATTGTTTAGAAGAACAAGATTTTTGTTATCATTCTCCCCCCTTTTATGACTTACTTGTCTTAAGAGTAAATCAGTTTTTATCATTTGTGTTCTAAGTTTATAGGTTAGTACAAAGTTATAGTTCTATAGTTCTAACATTTAGTAAGCCTAATAGTAGTTAAGCTTCTGAAACACTCAGAAGTACTAGAGATTATGTGTTACAGTTCTCTACTCTTGTATCTTTAGTTCTGAGAGTTCTACACCCTTTTATACTAGAACTCAGAACTTCTGTCTCTTAAGAGTACTATCTATAAACTATATGTATACTAACTCTTACTACTACCCCTCCTTACTTTATTATTCTATTCCTTTAACCACCCTTTTATTCTTTGTTCATTCTATAGTCTCTTACCCTTTGTCTATCTCTTTATTCTTTGTACCTTTATCTTTGACCTTCCTTTCTTTCATTCTTTGTAGCTTATTATTCTTAGTAGCTTATACTCTCTAAGTATTCTTATATAGTTTAGTATATATAGGTGTACAAGATTAGACTAGTCCTATAGTCTTAATCTTGTCTACTCTAAATAGTCCTGTACTCTTAGACTTACTTTATATACTCTACTCTTGTCTTACTCTCCCTCTCTGTCTGTTCTATAAGTTCTAACTATGTTCTAGTACTTATGTTCTGTATTTCTGTTGTGTAGGATAGTTGTAGTCTAGGTCCCCTTACTAAGCCTTCAGGTTCTCTCTATACTGTTACTAATATTAGATTAAGACTACTTATTACTACTCTACAACTCTCTTACATTTTAAGTATTAGTACTTACTATTGTATTAATCTCTTTTCTTTGTCCTAACCCTTTTACATTTTTAAATTTTAAACTTTCTAAACCCTTTTAAACTTTTACTACCCTTCTTCTATTTATTACCCTTTTTAGTTTAGTACTAATTCCTTTATAGTATAAACATAAACCCTCTTATACTAACTGTCACCCTTACTGTTCTACCAGATTAGTAGTTGTAAGCAGACCTAACTTAATATGTGTAGACCTCTATCTAAAAGGTCTTTACTAACTACATACCTCTAACCCTCTCAGAACCTGTTCTAATTGTTCTAGAAGTTGTAACCTGTTTTAGAAAGAAAGTACATATAGCCTACTCTTCAGACTTTAATAAGTAGCACTTTAAGAACTTCTAGTACTAAGTTGAACTATACATAGTTACTACTTTAACTAATCTATTCTCAGATCTCAATCATGTTCTATTTGTCCTCTCCTTCATAAAGGAAGGTAATATGACTACCTAGGCCTAAAACTAGATTAAAGACTATTAGATTAGAAGCCTAATCTGACTTTAGAACAACAAGTCATATTCAGAATTCATAGAGTAGCTCTGTACTTCCTTTATTAATCTGAATAAAAAGTAAAATGTGTAGAACAAGCTTACATCTCTGTAACAGAACAAACATTCTACTAATACCTTCTTTCAGGAGTTTGATATTCTAGCCTAAAAGGCAGGATTTGTACTTAGGTTTAATAATGTTCTTATTAGAATGTTTGAAAAAGCTCTACACCTAGAACTAGTTAATAAGATTCTTAGAATGATACTAGAACTAATTACTTACACT